CATACGACATAAGCAAGACTATGAAACTCACCATGCATATGGTCCCACTATTGGAAACAACTAGCAAATTTATCACATAAGTGTCCATGCAGGCAAGTAGCATCAATGGTTGCACATCACAGAAGTAGTGGTCAATCACATTGGGACCACAAAAGGGCAATTGCAAAGCCAGGGACATCTGTGCTGAAGAGTGGATACCAGATCCCACCCAGGCCAGAATCACCATCATGCTACAGATATGCTGGCTCATGATGGTTGTGTATTGCAGGGGCTTACAAATGGCCACATAGCGATCAAAAGCCATGAGGATGAGGACAAAGATCTCCATGCCCCCAAAGAAATGGACTGCAAAGAGCTGGGTCATGCACTCATTGTAGGAAATAGATTTCTTCTGAGACAGAGCATCCACAAGCAGTCTGGGTACCGTAGTTGTAGAAAAGCAGGCATCAGCAAAGGACAGGTAGGATAAGAAGAAGTACATGGGACTCCCAAGGGCCACACTTGCCTTAATAGTCACCACAATGAGAAGGTTCCACAGTAGTGTCAAAAGGTAAAGAATCAAGAAGATTACAAATATTATTTTCTGCTTTTCAGTGTCCTGAGTCAACCCAAGCAGAATGAATTCATTCACAGTGTTATTCATCACTAGGTCAGTAGTTGAAGGTAGGATGCAGTTGACAAAGATTCAGTCTACAAAGAGAAGCAAAAAAGTGAACATTTGGGAAGATTTTTGGGCTACCTTCTGAATTCATTCCTTGTGCTCCGTATTCTGTTACCTCCATTTCTGTTACTTTGGCTGTGCACCAAAATTCCACATGAATCTTTGTAAATCTGTGGATTTCCAGGTCTCTCTCGGATTTATCTGTGATTCAGAAACTGGCTGATTGGAATAACACTGTTGTATTTGGGGAATAAAATTTAAAAACAGCCTTCAGCAATTTCAATTCCTACAAAGATTGATAATTACAGAAATTTGTCATTTCTTCGACAAATGTCTTAACTGCTTTAAAACTTGGACTTTATGTAAAAAAATGAAGTGTCAATATCTTCTCTACCTTACTCTGTGTTAATATAAGAATTTAAAAAGGAGTTTGCACTCACACACACACATGCATATACCTTTCATGTATTATACATCTTCCCTATGTGCTTTGATGCCTGAAAAACACTATTCCAATAAATTTAAGCATTAATATTGTTAGACAATCTTCCCTTAAAGACATATTAACGGTTTTGTTAATACATTTTTGTGTCTATAATCCCTAGTTCTTTAGGATTCTGAATGAAATAGACTTTGATAATTCCCTTGATATCTCTATGGTTTACTTCTTTAATATGTAAAGAATGTGTGTAAATAATAAAATAGTATGCCTTATAAGGTTGCTATGAAGACTACATAATTTGACACTTAATGAAATTATTAGATGCAAATACCCAGTAACCATAATAAGAATGGTTATTTTCATTATGACTATCAACAGTAGATTTCCAAGATATATTTTCATTTATTCCTGAAATAGTAATTCAAATGTGTAATTTACTCATGATAAAGCCATGCCCCTGTATTAAAACACTAATTTAATTTGGTGAGTGGCTGAAATTATATAATCACTGTGAGTGATAATATTTTTCTTATAATTATCAGAAGCTACGTTTGGCAGTTCTAAACATCGTTAATAATTGAAAAATAAGAAAAATGAATCAAAAGTATGGATTAGCATACAA